AAAAAAAAAAGGAAAGCAAAATAAAATAAAAACTGGGCAGAGAAGGCAAACGCGGCATGTGTGTCTGTCCCCTCACAGGCTGACACAGAAGCACAGGGGACAGGGGCGCTGCCCCCACGGCAGCGGCCGAGGCGGGGGAGTGGGAGCCTCGCTCCGCGCGGTACCTGAGAAGGACTTTTCTTTGTTCGCGATGCCCTTTCCCTGCTGGCCAATCAGCACCCAGCTTTTAGGAAACCGGGCCCTGCCATTGGCCCGCTCCTCCTGCCTGCCGGCGAGGGTGAGAGACACAAACACGCACCCGCTCACACCCCCGGCACCCGCTCGCACTCGCGCCTTGTAGCCGTGCTCATACTGCACCCCCTAACACACGCCCTCAACCCTCACCTCGCACACATTACATCCCCGCACACACTGCGCCCCCTCACACCCGCCCGGTACCCTCGCACCACACCACCCCCTCACGCATTGTACACTCACACGTTCTGCACTCACGCACACTACACACACACACGCAGCCCCTCGCTCTGCACCCCGCAGCCTACACCGAGCCTCCCTGCTGCAGCCAGATACAAAATCATGTTTCCAATTTCAATTATACTACGTAACATTTAAAGCTGAGGGAAAAGAAATGGGAGGAAAAAAAATAAGAGAGGGGGAGGAGGGAAAAGAAAATAAGAGAGGGGGAGGAAGGAAAAAAAAAAGAAAACCAAGGTGAAGTGTAGCTCTGCCAAGACTCACAGGTCGGGAGGAAGACTCCTTCATTTCGTTTTAATTTAATTTCAGGGCAGTTTTCGAAGCCATGATGAATGATTTTTTCTGTGCCGGTTTCAAAGAGGCAATTTAGAATCTCAGTCATAATTTTTAAATATCCCCTCATTCAAAATTATAACAGCTTGAAGCCAGCGAGAGAGCGTTGCTGATACACATGTGCGATTATTTTCATGGTTAGTGGAGGAGAAAAGCAAACAGTATCTGGAGGAAGGGGCTGAGGGGAGGTTTAGGGTAGGACAGCACCCCCACCTCTGCTTGGGGGTCACCGAGGCGCTACTGCGCTCTCCGATCAGTCCTCTTTCTTGCATTCACTTTTTCAGCTCCTCATGTATTTTATTACATGTTCATTTTTACAATATGGCTTAAGTTAGACAAGGTCGGGTTTTATTCTTTTTTTTTTTTTTTTTTTCTCCCTTCCTCTTTTTCGGAAGGAAGGGGAGCAGAAAATAACCCTTTTGTTTCCAGACTGCTGATTTACTGCCACACGCACTGAAGTGTGAATGCCAGCGACCCTATAACTACCACGTGAACATCCTTTCACAGGAATTAGTAACACAAATCTTCCCTATCGGGCTTTGTGTAGCTCGAAAATATCCCCCTTAATCATTCCTTTTGTTTACGTTGGGAGCCATTATGCTACACCAGTGCGTTAAATTGCGTTTAACCCTTCGCGGACGGCGGGGATAGAATGGGGGCGGCGGCGCCCGCCGCCCGCGGGCACGGGAGGGTCAGGAGGTGGGGGGCACTAACCCCGCAGACACCTTGTTCCTTTTAATACCCTTAAGCATAACCTACTATTTTTCCTTCTTCTTCTTTTCTTTCCTTTTCCATCTCTTTGATTTCCCCCCCCCCCCCGCCCCCCCTTTCCCCTTGATCTCTCTGGAACTGATCTCCTTGTGAAAATCGATACGGGATGTTTTTTTTGCCAAACGTACGCATCGCCCAAGTCAAAATTTCCGGCAAGAAGTCAAAGCGTGGCATTTACCATGTCCTGCACACCCATGACAGGGTGACAAAATACCTCTTTGGATTTCGTCCAGCTGAGCAAATCACACGCGTCAGCGTCCCCACATTGCAGGCTTCCCAATCAAAGGGGCGATTAGTGGAGAGGTACCAGAGAAGCAAACCCCCCCTCAGACCTGGCTTTGCTACGGGGGCTTTGCAGAAGGTGAAACAAGACTAGTGGGGGTAAAAACTGCCCGCGCCGTAGCACCTGACCGCACTATGGCCACCAGGTCACCGTGACCAGGGGCCCCGGGAGAAAAGGCTGCCCTCCAGTTGCTATGAGCCCCTCACGCTGCGGGCACTGGAGTCACCAACGTATGCTACCTTGGGAGGCCTTGAGGCTGCCCGGTCTGAGGCTGCTCCATTTCTCCTGTGTAAAAATGCTTCCCCTTCAGGGGCTGATAATGAAGAGTTTATTAGCAGGGATATGTTCATTGTCAAGGAGGCCCTTGATCACATTAAATGTTTAAGCCATTACAAAGACAAAGAAGGAAGCTAAAAAAAAAAAAAACAGCCCTCATGGCATGTGTGCAGCACAAACAAGAAATGCTGAGGTATTAACAGTGAACACATCCTTGGCCTCCCACCTTGGCGTTAGAACAACGCAGGGATAATCACAAGGAGACTTGTGAGCGGCCACTTCCCAGCCGGTGCAGCAGTGGAGGAGCCTGGACACACTGCCACCCTCCCCCTAGGGATGTGACACTTGTGCCCAGCATGTGCAATTTGTGGAGGAGTGGGCATGCATAATGTTACAAGGTACTGAAAATCACAGTTTCCCCGGAGTAACTCTTAAGTGATGTCACTCACTGTTTAGCAAAATTTTAAGATCAGCAATACTAAGTTTTTGGTCTACTTAGTCGTGGATTACTATTCCTGTTTCCTTACAGTATGTATTTTTCAGATTTAGGTAATGGCACTGATTTTTTCAGTATCAACCTCTGTTTAGACACATTTCACTTTGGGCTGCTTCTCGTCTGCAAAATTACAGTCATTTTTACATTATTATACAGTGAGTAGGAGACAGTTTGTATTTAGCATTGGGTGGGGGAAGGGGTATTATGGGAAGTGATCTGCTTTGGTCAGCACATAATTTCAGCCCAAAGAAAATTGCTTCTGAATAGATGGTCTGTTAACTAGCCAAAGAACAGTCACTGGGAGAGATTACAAAAGTGCCTCTGCTTTATCTGCCTTACACCATCATTTTAATATTTGAAAGCAAGCCTCAGTGGAAGAGCCAGCCACAGAGGGTTACTAACCACAGAGGCAAACTGATGGGTAAAATATCCTTAAAAACCTGCTTAGATGACAAATTTCAGAGGCGAGCTCCCTCTCTTGCCCCATTCCCTCCCAGCTTTTATGCTTGAGTCTACAGAGAAGGAGCCTGTCCAGCGTGTTGCATGGTTGCCGAAGCAGGGTTTTATTTATCCATTTCTGCCGCAGAAATTACAGCAAGACTCCTCGCTGGCCCGTGGGTGCATCTGCAGCAGCCGATTACCGTGAGTGGATGCAAAAAGATCACTGAACTCACATTGTCTTGTCAGGTTGAGAACATCAGTATTTCAAAAATCAGCCAGGGCCTACTGTGTGATGTAGTGGCTTTTCCACCTTAATTTCTACCTGCTCGCCAAATTAGA